ACTACAACCTACACCAACTGTTGGAACTCCTCTACCCAAAGAATGGAAGAAACCAAGAGACTTATCTCTGGACAACATCATTTGTGATATAGATAAGGGAGTCTTTACTCGACATACTCTTAATCTTCTCTGTGATGATATGGCATTTTTTTCTCAAGTTGAACCATCATGTGTTGAACATGCTTTAAAAGATGAATTTTGGTTAATGGTTATGCATGATGAATTGAATCAATTCAGGAGAAACAATGTATGGGACTTAGTTCCATCCAATAACAATATGAATGTCATAGGCACTAAATGATTGTTTAGAAATAAACTGAATGAGGATGGTGTAATTGTTAAGAATAAAGCTAGACTTGTTACTAAAGGTTATAATCAACAAAAAGGGATTAATTATGATGAAACCTATGCACTTGTAGCTAGACTAGAAGCTGTAAGGCTTTTGATTGCATTTGCATGTGTTTATGATTTCAAATTGTACCAAATGGATGTTAAAAGTGCATTTTTAAATGGCTTTATTAAAGAAGTGTATGTATCCCAACCCCTGGACTTATTGATTGCAAATTTCCTAAACATGTATACAAGCTTAAGAAGGCTTTGTATGGGTGTTGATTTTCCGAGCAAGCGCACCCAAGTCTCTATAATATAGTAAAAAAGGTTGTCGATCCTTAGGGACTTGTGAAGTATATTTTGATTTCAATTGTACTAATTGTTACTTGTAAATTCAAAGCTTGAGTATTCACACATGTTAAGTATTTGATGTGATAAGTGATTTAGACTTAAGTAACCAAGGTCAGATTAAATTTAAGAAAAATAGATATGAGAAACAGTTGGGATTAAATTTCATCAATCTCCCCCCTATGTATTCCTAATGATTCTTGCAAATGATTCCATTACTCATTTCCATTGAGTTCTCTATATTCATTCAGACCCAATTCCTTGGCATAAGAAATTCTAAGATATTTAACTCAATGAATGATTCCTCACCTCATTCAGTTAAATGTCTTGCATTAAGAATCAGAACTTGTTGCAACTATTAATTTCGAAACCATCCTTGGCTTTCAAAACTAATAGGTGATTTGTTTCAAATCTAGATTCAGAAAATGTTTTCCAACCAAATTTTAAATCCAAGATCAAAGATAAATGATCAGTTTATCAAAGCATTAAGAACAGAATACAAATCACTTACACTTAGTAATAGATGTAATATATATATATATATGAATCAAAAAAGAATACACAAGAGTTTGATGACTACATCAATCTCAACCCTAGAGCTTTAGCTCTCCATGGTACAAGAAATCACAAAATAACAAGAAAGGTAGAAGAAAGAGATCCTCTGAAGAACCGCGTTCCCGTGAGCTCCAAGGTGCTCTATTTTGTTCCTTCGTCTCTGTTCTTCTTTCGTGCAACTCGTGATAATGGATTTTCTCTCTCCTATACCCTTTTATAGTTGCTAGAATCAAAACAGAGTGGGTAGGAAAGAGAAGGAACCGCTCAGGGCCTCAAAATGGCTGAGCGGTTTGGAGAATTCTTCGACATGAAGTAATCTAAAGGGCTAGGCCCTTGAAATCCGCTGAGCGCTTGAGACAATTCTTCACAATGAAGCAAGCAAAGGGGCTGAGTGCTTGAAATCCACTGAGCGCCTAGGGGGCAGAGAGCACTCATTCTTCCAGGGCCAAAACTGTTCAGCACTTGGGAACGGTTGAGCGCCTCTCCTCTATTGCACTTGCTAAGCTCTCTGGGTTGAAAGCGCTAAGCCCTTTTGAAGGGCTGAGCCGTTTGCCTCCATACTTCAAAAGCTACAAAATAAGAGGAAAATATGATCAAAAGACTCATCACTCCTTGTAAATACGTAAATTAAGAGCCTCTATTTGATTCTAAGTGTATTAGCCAAAATTATATCAATATATACAAAAATTGTGCTAGATAAGTGTCTCAAATTTATATTTCATCATACTAATTATACACTTATCAAGCTACCCCCAACTTAGAAATTTGTTTTTCCTCAAACAAAAAGTCTTGATTGAGATAATAATATATCTTAACTTATATACCCAGTGAATCACTTTAAGTTTCACCCAAAAAATATGTTAATACACTTACATGGTTTCAAGGAGTTCAATGAAAGCTTGTTTGCAAAATCTAGTGTGCTTACATGCAAGTTACTACAAATGGTGCCCACATGATAACAAAAATTATGAACATCAAGCATACTCAAGGGAAATATCCACTCATTTTCCATTGTTTTCAATCAAGAGCACTAAAATTTTCCTCACAATTGTGTATCTCTCATTAATATGCCGTGAAAGGTGAGTGTTTCTCTCTTTTCATACACCAAAACACATTAAGTCTGCTTTGTTACCTATCTCCCATAAGTCTGTTGTTAGAACCAAACATGGATCACTAAGGACTTTAAGAGGGTTGTAATGTGGCCTGGCTATAAGAGAACTTGGTTTTTCTTTAGGAATTTAAAGGCCTGTTTGGCAAGAGAACATTCTCACTCATATGGGTTTATATCAAATTCTTACATTTTCTTGAATTCTCTTGACTCTTCTGTCTCATCCCTCTTTTGGTTATATTTACTGATTCCTTCTCTTTTAGAATCTTACATTCGATTGATGGAATGGTGACAAGGAACCTTGATTATAAACTTTACTTTTTTTTTAGTAATATATATATATATATAGAACAATACTTCGCCTGTACAACTCTAACCACATGAAGACTACATAGATTTACCCCCAACTTAGCTCAAACCCACTTGTTTCATGAGAATATCTCTTACCAACAAGGCTAAAGGACAATCATGGTTTTTCTTTATAAGCTTAAGGGTTCAGTTTAAGGTCAAAATTGTCTGCTCCAGGGTTAATGTAACTCATGGGTTAGCTTAATGGCTATTGGGTTAAATATAATGAACAATTGCCTTAGTAAATTCCATGCATAGCTTAACTGTAACTTATGAGAGACTCAAACAAAACTGACGCATGAATCAGCGATGACTCTCAATGACTGAATTTTCATTGTTTGGCCCACTCACTCACACGGTTTGGTTAAGTGCTCTAGATGTCAACAACTTCAGACTTGTTTCAATTTCACTTGAACATACTTGAAGCACACAATTTAAATAAAAAATGTACAACCATTTGTGCAACAAAGTAAACTTCCATATTAGAAAACAATGCTCATTGAAAACTTGAACCATGAAAATGCTCATTCCAAAAAGATTGTCAATTTAAACCCCAAAAAGAATTTTTTTTTATCACCATTAGTGGACTATTGCACAACAAACACTAACAAGAGACTACTAGTCCAACAAGACCTTACTTCAAAAACATGAACCAAGCACAAGTTTAACCACAAAAAACATCCAAGTAAACTAATTAACAAAGCCACCAAAAGTACTCACCAAATAGTGGATAAGAAAACAACCAAAAGACTAAAAAGTAAAGTGCTGCAAAAAAAGTAAAATTGGAATTTAAAGTACTAAAATACAATAAAGTGAAAATTTCAAAATTGAACCAAAATGGAATAAGAAAGCAGTACAAAAGGCCAAATAATCCAAGCAACCACACCATGAATGGCTCAGCCCTTTAAAAGGGCTGAGCCCTTTAGCCAAAATTGAATGCGGCCCTTAAACCGTTCAGCTATTTAAAACGGCTGAGCCCTTTGAGTGCAGGGGCTAAAAATTTTCTCTTTTTCACAAAATCATTCCTTGCAAGTCACAAAATGATTTTCCACATTTATTCACTATAGTTCCCAAATTAATTTGCTCAACAACAAAAAATTTGTATCAATGAAGCACAAACAAAAATCTTTCATATCACTCATATCATTCAACCATAAACCCTTAATAATAAAAATTGATCCATGAACTTAGGGCATGCATAACAATATTTGCATTGAAGAACAAGAGAAATTAGAAAGAGAGAGTAAAAGGAGAAAACTTGAAGGCTTACCTTGAAAGCATTGAGAATGAAAGAAAAATAGAGGGACAATTTCTTTTTAAAACTATTCTCGGATTGGGCTTTCTCAAATTTTTTTTCTCAAGGCCCGTGTTGAATCGCTCAGTGGTTTCAAAGCATTGGGCGCTTTAGCCACCGCGAGCATTCCACTCAAAAGCACTGAGCCTTTTTTTAGGCGCTCAACCCTTTGTTCCAGGAGTTGCTTTTCAAATTCATTCATGAAGCATTGGGCCCTTTTTAGGCACTCAGCTGTTTCGGTGCCGCGAGCAATATCAAGAAAAGCGCTAAGCACTTTGAAAACGCTCAGCCGTTTGATACAAAAATCTCAACCAAAATTTTTTTTTTGACATGAGGGGCTGAGCCCTTTTCCCCCTGGGAGGAAAATTTAGCTAAAAATTAGATGCGACAACCAAAGGGCTAAGCCCTTTTTAAACTTAAAATGAAAAATAGAATTCAAACCAAAATGGTTGGGTTGCCTCCCAGTAAGTGCTTCTTTATTGTCATTAGCTTGACACTTCTCTCAATTATGGGTCATTAAGATGAATGAAAGTGGTAAGTTTCTCAACTTCACCACCCAGATATGGCTTAATCCTCTAACGATTAACCATCCAAGATCTTCCTGAATTTGGCTTTTCCAACTTCACTGCCCATAAGGTTTAACTAATTTGATCACAAAAGGACTTGACCATTTGGACTTGAGCTTTCCAGGGAATAATTTCAACCTAGAATTGAATAACAATACTTGCTGGCCTAGTTGGAAGTTTCTCTGCACAATTTTCTTGTCATGGTAGGACTTCACCTTGCTCTTGTAAATTTTTGAGGATTCATAAGCATGCAACCGCATTTCTTCAAGCTCATGTAGTTGAAGTTTTCTTTTTTAACTTGTAGCTTTAATATCAAAATTTAATCCCTTCTCTAATGGTGTGGCTAATGAAGATTTTCTTTTAGTTTCCAAACACACTTCATCCATCACATCCACTCTAAAATAATTTTTCTTGTCATTTGGGTGTTTCATAGCTTCAAAAATATTCAAATTCACCTCATCATGTTGCACCCTAACCTTGAGTTTTCCATCATCAACATCTCTATAATGACCTTAGCTGTCTTCATGAATGGCTGACCCAAAATGAGAGGAATCTCCGAATCCTCTTCCATGTCCATGACAACAAAATCAACTGGAACCAAAAATTTATCCACCTTAACCAATAGATCTTCAACAATACCATGAGGATATTTTACCGATCTGTCTGCCAGCTGCAGAGTCATCCTAGTAGGTCTCACCTCCACATCTCTTATCTTCTGTAACATAGATAAGGGCATAAGATTGATGCTAGCCCCTAAATCCAACAATGCCTTCCCCACAGAGAGATTGCTAATGGTGACTGGCAAGGTCAAATTCCCTGGGTCTCTAGATTTTTGCAGAAGTGATCTTTGAATTATAGCACTGCAACCTGACTCTAATTCCACTGTTTCATCCTCACTAAGTTTTCTCTTCTTTGTCAGAAGCTCTTTCATGAATCTAGCATAAGATGGCATCTATTCTAGGAATCTTGCAAACTTTTGTTCCTTATCTTTCTTTGATGGAGCATGTGGATAAGGTAAATTCTTCACAGGAGGAGGCCTAACAACTTCTTTCCCTTTCTTCTTACTCTCCTCCCTTACAACTCCATTTTTCCTCTCCTCTTTTTCACTCTTTTTTTTTATTTTCTATTTTTCCTGCCTCTTTATTCAACTCCACCTCTTTCTCACTTTTAGACTCAACTTCACTCTTTTCTTTATCTTGCTCATCTTTATCTTCTCTCAAATTATCACCAATCCTCTTTCCTATCATAGTGCCTCTCCTAGTTGTAATTGACTGACAATGCTCTTTAGGATTGACCTGTGTATTGGCTAAGAAATTATTGCTTTGTTGTTCTGCCAATTTCTTCGCCAACTTCCCTATTTGTACTTCCAGATTTCTTATAGAGGCTTCAATATTTTTCTGATTGGTTGTGGAAACTGTTGAGCTTAGGAGAGCTTGAAGCTTAAAGGAGTTTTGATGATCACAACATGTGTGTACAACAACAACTTATGATCACAATGTGTGTGTACAACAACAACTTGGAAGCACAAAAACAAAGTCAAAGAAAAGTCAATACTATGTAATAGGAATTAGTGTATAAATTGTTTTGATTGGTTTAGTGTGTTGTGCATGTTGTGTGCATGAGAAAATCTATATCTAAGCTAAGTAGAGAGTGTATGATGATGAGTTAAAAAGGTTAGAAATTTATTTTGAGGCTTAAACTGAGGTTTTGAAAACTAACTCAAAATAATCGATTATCATT